GCGACTCTCAGGAGGATCCGGTGTCGCACACCCTGTGTCTACTCTGTGATAGTGCCCCTGCCGGGCCGGGCGCACTTCAGGTGTAAGTCCGAACGCTGAAAGACGCTCCTGAACGCGCTATCGCCTTGATCGTTCGCCGTCGCGATACGCGCCGCAGGTAGGGGCCCTGTGTGGGCGCACTGTGTCAGTAAAGTCCCCTATCAGTTGTGATATCGGTGACAGTCGAGATACGAGTGCGAGGCGCCCTGTGAGCGCTGATTTGTGAGACCAAGTGTCGAGAGGTGACACGGCTGGCTGTGGCGAGAGATAAATAGACAACGGTAACTCTGTGTGACTCGTTTTACTTATCCGAAGGATTCAGAGTCACCGATCACCATATCATTTTGACGAATTACGAACCGATAGTCATGACGCTTATGGCTTTATTCGTAGAATGGAATCTAGACTCACACACCTTAAATATTAACACGCTTATCACTCTTCCGTTCTGCAAACACGAGCGCTGGTAGTATATGTGTATATGATAATATTTAACGATTTGCGGAGATTACATTGCGTTTAATTTCACTAATAACTACTAGCGTTTTCAAAGTTCTCGTCGATAAGTTCTTAACAAAAACACAAATATATTTTCAAATGACAATTCGCGCACATTACTAAATACTATCTTGTCCTTACATTTGAGTTATGGAATCAATTTTGTAGCATTCAGCAGCAGTAGCATGAACTGTACTTGAGTAATAATCATTCCACCGCATATCTGTAGGGTGATATCACATTTTGTTCAGCTCCACGCCGTTCCGTTCAAGCCGCTCATTCCCACATGGTAGCCACTCTCTCGGCCGTGTTCGCTGTCCGCCCCGAACACCGGTGGCCGTCACGACTCCACTGGTCCGTCTCACGGAGCCTGAGTTCAGCGTCTGTCACCATACAGCCCTCTGTCGGGAGTGGGCCGTAGACAGTCCCTGTAGCTGCCCACCGTGTCCTATCCTGCGGACCGTGTCAGTCCTATCCTGAGGACCGTGTCAGTCCGGTCTCCGTGCAGCTGTCTGTCGGCGCCTGCCCTCACCACTGGCCGCGGCCGGGCGAGCGCGACCGGCGGTCTCGGCCGTCCGGATAGCGGCCGTCGTAGCCGCCCGGCTGCGGCGCCGGGCCCTTGGGCAGGCGCGCCAGGTTACCGGCACCGTACCTGAGGACGGGCGCGGGTCAGTGTCAGGGACATACATTATCGGCCCCGTACCTGAGGACGGGCGCGGGTCAGTGTCAGGGACATACCTTACCGGCACCGTACCTGAGGACAGGGCGCGAGTCAGTGGTCAGGGATATACCTTACCGGCCCCGTACCTGAGGACGGGGCGCGGGTCAGTGGTCAGGGGCAGGGGCTACTGGCGGCGGGGCTCAGGGTCAGTGTCAGGGGCACAGGTCACTGGCGACAGGATGCAGGTCAGTGTCAGTGGGCTCAGATTAGTGTCAGATGCATGGTTCAGTGTCGGGGGGAAGATTGCGTACTTGATCTCGTGCCGTGAAAAGAGTCATTCTGAAAGACTGGCGATAAGATTGGGCGCTGGAGCTAACTTTATCGCTCATCCGGAGTTGTCTTGACCGCCCACCTGGGGTCATCTGTCTCGGCGCCCCTCACCTGGAGTTGCTGTCTCACCACTGCTCACCCGGAGCTGCTGTCTCGCCGCCGCTCACTTGGAGTTGCTGTCTCACCTGTAGTTGCTGTCTCACCTGTAGTTGCTGCCTCACCTGGAGTTGCTGTCTCGGCACTGCTCACCTGGAGTTGCTGCCTCGGCACTGCTCACCTGGAGTTGCTGCCTCAGCTGGAGTTGCTGTCTCGGCACTGCTCACCCGGAGCTGCTGTCTCACCTGTAGGTAGTTGCTGTCTCACCCGGAGCTGCTGTCTCACCTGTAGGGAGTTGCTGTCTCACCTGGAGTTGCTGTCTCACCCGGAGTTGCTGTCTCACCTGGAGTTGCTGTCTCACCTGGAGTTGTCTGTACCGCTCACCTGGAGTTGCTGTCTCGGCGGGCGCGGTCGGACGGCATGTGCGCGTCCGGCAGCGGCTGGTGGAACCGGTCGAAGCCGTGCGGCTCAGAGATGTGTGTCGGCGAGGAGAGCTGGCGGCCGGCCCGCGGCGGCTCGCTCCTGCCGGCGTGAGGTGGCGGGTCAGCGGGCCGAGGGACAGGCCAGGGGAACTCATTTCGAACCATGCTCGGCTATATGAATGCCCTAAAGATTAGCAAACTGACAAGCAAATCTGCTTTCGTGGATTAAATCTCTCGAATATTCCATGGCCTTCCGATCGACAACGGGATGAAAGAGTTATTTAGGGTGAATTATGCCGCTGAAGAATGACGTCAATAACTTCACACGATCTAAAATTGGTGAATTCGCAATGACGTGGCATAGAGGCAACTCAATATCGTGGAACAGCGTTGTGTCGTTCACTTTAAGGCGACACTCGTCAACCGATAACAGGTGACGCACGTGATACCAAACACTCCTGTTGGCTATCTTTACCACTTGTCGCTTGACTTACCACTCTGAATCCCCCCTTCTCCCTACTCTCACATGCACCATATTTCAGGAGACTGACCGGAAAACCTCAACGGGCTCTCACCAGGCCGGTGTACAGTTCCTCTCACCTGGCCTGGTCGGGTAACTGATCGCGTTATAACTGTTTCCCTCACCTGCCCTTGTCGGGGTACTGGTACGGTCGGGCTACTGATCGCGGCACTGTTTCCCCCACCTGTCCTGGTCGCCGTATTGGTGTGGGCACTGGTCTGGGCGCTAGTCGGAGTACTGTTTCCCTCGCCTGCCCTGGTCAGGTACTGGTCGCAGTGTTGGACCTCTCACCTGCCCTGGTCGGGGTACTGGTCTGGGTATTTGTCCTCTCACCTGCCCTGGTCGGGGTACTGGTCTGGGTGCTACTTGGGGTACTGGTCGCGGTACTGACCGGGTACCGTTTCCCTCACCTGCCCTGGTCGGGGTACTGGTCAAAGCCGCGGTTCTGCAGCTCGTCCCCTCCCCAACGCTCGTCCTCGTCGTCGTCCGGAGCGAACGCCCTGTTGTCGCGCTGCTGCGGTGGCGCCGCTGAGGCCACGGGATTGCGCCGGGTGGCCCGCTTCTGCGACTGAGCGGTCAGGCCGGCGCCGGCCGCCTGCAGCGTCTTGATCGTCTGATTCATACTGAGGAGCGGGCACGGGGGCGGGCGGTCAGCGGGGATGCAGAATGGGGAGCGGTGTTCACAGGTGGTGTTTGGTGTGGGATTTTAATGAAGCTGCTGATTGGAGAGCTGTGATTGAATGAGTTGCGATGCAATAGCTTGATATTTTTCCCTTTTCGCTTTTTGCGTACACTGAAATACGAGTATCAGCGAAACAACACGACCAGGGACCAGGGTCAGATCTGTAAATAGCCGGTCCTCGGCGATTATGTGTTCGTTTGAAGTTGAGTGCCAACAGCCCCGGCGTTCCACTGAAGCTCACCCGACGACGACATAGGCGGTGACCAGACTGACGACCAGCAGGAAGACGATGAAGGTGACGAACACGCCGGTGAGGATGTAGATCTGCTCCTGGACGTCGATCACGGTCGACTCCGTCTGTGTGGAGTGACGTCAGTCGTCAGTACCGCGAGTCGCGAACGGTGACTTCGGACGTCAGTGACGGCGGGATCGTTTGCATTGTATAATCGGGTTATAGTGGACTGCATAGATTGCATGAACGTGCAGCCAAGTGGTGTAGAAGTTACTCCTCTACTCCTGGAAATTTTGCTTTGCCGCTAACTTTTAACCGAGGTGTGCCTCGGGTCGATATATTATATTGCGCAACGGCTGCTTATACAGGAAAGGGTTTTCATAAAGTCACTTCGCAAGTAGAGTGCCTTCTCTACCCCAACAATGCAAACGATTAATTTCAACCCCTGGCGCTCCACCATTACTCTGTTATCCAAATAATCTCCGGGCAGTGTCCGTGTTTGTTCAGCCGATTACTGCTGGTTCCGAGCAAGGGCGGCGCCACCGTGGGGGCAGTGGGGGCAGACTGCCCCCACTGGCATGAGGCCGTGGGGGCAAGACTATGTTTTTGCCCCCACAAAATTTGGCTGATATTGAAAAGGGAACAGAAGACCGGTGCAACATTCATGATAGGCGGTTGTAATAGTACGTCTGTTTTTGACGATCCCCGTATCAAGTGCATCAGCAGAACGTTCGTTCTCGGACCGCCTGTCGCATATCTCCTACTCCCACTCATTCCCCTACTCATTTTCATTCACCAGAAGGCTGTCCTCGAGCTTGACCTCGAGGAGGTTGAGAGTCAGTTTGTCAAAAGTCGGCCGGAGAAGAGAATAGAGATCACCCTCTTTTGGGAACCCTTAGCCTGAGACTGAGCTCAGGGAGGTAAAGCAAAATGTGATAGGTGTGTATATGTGTTACAGGCCGTATGAAAACTCAGTCCGTTTGCAAACGGCCTGGCCCGATTCAGGCCGTTTGCAAACGGCCTGGACAGCCCAGTCAGTATGCAAACGGACTGAAAAGTCAGGCCGTTTGAATACGGGCTGAAATTCCAGGCTGTATGCAAACCGCCTGAAATTTCAGGCCGTTTGCAAACCGTCTAGGCCGTATGACAACTTTCCAGACACCAGGCCGTTTGCAAACGGTCTAGGCATTTTGAAAACAATCTGGTCTGCATAAAGTTACAGCTGGGACAATGTTGAGTTTGTTGAAGCACGACCGTTTCATGACATTACATGGCATCATGAAATCCTGAGGTGCATTCGGCATCCGGAAAAATATTGTCACTCGGATATTCTCCGTCGGAAAATTATTGTTGAGCGCCTATCTTCAGCATGTCTCGTTGTCGCGATAACGTTCGTGATCCTCGATGATTCTCGCTAGTTCCGGAAAATTCTCCCTGATTTTCCCGATGACGAATGCAGGCCTGGTCAGGAAGAGATTAGCAGATCTGAGACCCGGCCCGTAGAGCGCCCGGTCGACCTGGGCTTCCCCCGACTTCAAAGTTTCGCCTTCCACCGCAATGGTCAAGTATGTACAGTCTGTCTTAAAAGTACCGCGCAAAGTGACGGTGGATCCATCAAGCCTGACCGAGAAAGGGCCTGCTATAGTTTGAAACTCACCGAACCAATTGACCTGGGGAATGGACGAGGATGTCAATTGCTTCGGTGACTCAAATTTAACAGTCCCTCCACGGTCGGGCTTGATGGATCCCCGCACTGTTGCGCGATACTTTTAAGACAGACTGTACTGCCGGCGTACGCCACCGGCCAGCCGCCGGCGGTCGACCGGGCGCGGTGAGGACCCTAATGTGAACCAGTGTGGCGCGGGAACTTCTTCCAGACTGGGGGGGGGGGGGGGCCCGGGGCTGAACCATAATAGAGATCAGCCTAGGGTACCCCCCAAATCTAGCTTTCTTACCGGTTTTAGGCCACTTATTTTTCAGACCTTGGCCTTTTCAACAAAAAAAAGCGAAAATATTTGCAAAAAGTCAGGTATTCCGTCTCAGTTGAGTGAAGAAACTAGGGGAAGTTGGGGGAACGCCGAATACTTTTTTTCTGACGCCCGTAGCACACAAGGTAGACAACATAAGCTATTCTTGTTGGCGTCATTCGAGAGGCCAGTCTTTTGCCTTTCAAACATACCAGGCGCATTTGATGAATTCGCATACCGTTAAGCGCACAAACTAAAAATATCAAAGAAGTGACTTTTTCGGCGTTGCCCCGGACTGCGGGGAAAGCCGAAAATGGGAGAAATGATCTACGGGGAATGCCGATATTGATATTTTGCCACTTTATCTCAAACTTTATCCAGAATTTATCAAAGCTGACACGCGTTTTAAGAGATTGGGCCTTGTACAAGGCCCATTTTCAAATGAAGGGAACGAATTTCTTCAATACCACGAGGCCGCGGGGGTTGCAACCTAGATAGATAGTGGTTTCTGAACCTCGCTGCAAACTTATTTACTTGGCTATCTCAACTCAAATCTAATGTAAAGGTGGGATAGTCCCTTTAAGAGCTTGAGGGCGCTTGGTGCACACTGGAAGTTATAATTGTGTGATATAATAAGAAAATGCCAGGTAAATAATTCCTTATAGGTAACAGGCCGTTGTGCCGGTTGAAAGTGTAATTTGTGTGACTAAAAATTCGCGTTGCTATTCTACAGCAGTAAAGTCCACGTAGCGTGCTTTAACGTGCGTAATTGCACGTTTTCGGCATTACCCCAGCCAGCCATACTTTCATTTGCAGGCCCATAACTTTTCAACGTGCCGTATAAATTTCAAATAGGCAGCACACTTATGCAAAGACATGCTGAAGATTACTTGACCGAATTGGCCAGACAAACGGTAGCATAATGAGTAAGAAATGCAGCTTCAAAGGCGCATGTAGTACAAGGAACGCGTACCTTGAAAACGCTCTTGGCGCCCTCACAGCCGAAGTATTCCGAATGACGACTCGTAACAAACATGCGATAATTGTAGTCACTTAACCCGCGCCCCGTAGGGGGGGGCCGAAACGGCCCCCCCTGTCCTTTTCGGTCGATATCTCCTAAACGGCTGGAGATATTGCCACCAAACTTTCAGGACCCCTCCGGGCATCAATTTTACACATTGTGACCAAAAATTTTTCCAGAGGCTATGATAGGTTGGCCACAAATGACGTCAGAGTGACGTCATGTTCTGTCATTTTCGACCGAAAAAAGACCTTCGCGAGAAGACCTGTCAGGACTACAGCTTTGAAGATACAGAAAAATGATCAAGACATAAAAGGTGTAGAATTGACAGGGCTACAAAACTGCTATCTCGAATTTTTGAAATTTTTGAGTTTTGACCCCCAAAAATCAAAAAAACATTTTTTGGATATATTCGCCAACAAATCCAAAAAGTTTTTTGAGTTTCGAAAAAACCGGGATACATGTGATAGTGCCTACCGTCTTCTATCTACATACCAAATTTCAGATCGATACCTCGTTTTTTGGCCAAGTTATAGCGAAAAAACTGTTCAAAAATGATGACGTCAAATTTTCAAACTCAATTTTTGGCAATTCTAGAACTCGTAGAGCAAAACGAAGACCACCATCAGACTCCCCGTGACAAGCTGCATCGAATCAATACCCATTTTATGCAAAAATATCAACTTTGAAATTTGACCTAATTTGACCTGACCTTGACCTGACCTTCACAAAAACGTGACCTAGGCTGGCCCCAAAGGCTGCCTAACCCACATAATCGCATTTGTCATGTAAAATGGACCATAAAACATGTATCACACGACACATTCATATTGTGACCCCCGGTGACCTGACCTCGCTGTGACCTGACCTGGTATCAGTGACCTCAGATAGCAAAGTATGTGTTTGACGAACAATGTACCATCGATGGTTTTCAATAAATTACCGATTTACTCGCTTTCACAGCACATTTCTTGAATTGCCTGTGAACGGTGAAAATCTGACCTTTGACCTGACCTGTGACGTCATCGGTTTGACCTAGGTCAATGAAATTTGGTCACAAGGTAGTTCCCGGGTGGGGCTATCGAACGCCGTTTGAATTTTGAAAATCGGCCGGTAACTTTCCGAGATCTTAGGGGGGGGGGGTGCCGATACGGCCCCCCCCCCCCTACGGGTGGTAGGGTCCGCCGGTAGCCCTACGGGGCGCGGGTTAAGCTTCAGAGCATCACTGACAGGTGGCATCCATGTCTTACGGTTTTCGAAATATCTCGAATTTCGGCTTTACCCCAACTCCGGCATTGCCCCAACTTCCCCTACCGTTTTGGCAGCCTCGAATAAAGGTTTTAATTTGCCAAATGAGTTGCCGAGCCAGTGGAAGAGGTGGATTTTTCACTTACATGCTTTCTTCCTTTGTGACCCACAACCCCTAATTTGGGGAGGATAAGCTGCCCCAACGGTTCCTGACCTCATGAAAAGTTGCGGGGCACCGCCCCCACGGCCCCAGAGCTGTGGGAGCAAGCTTCCCCCACTGCCCCCTCCCCCGGTTCCCGCGCCTATGTATGAATCTATGAAATTATGTTGGTAGATTTCCGATTTCGATTCCTCCAGCTGGGGGGGGGGGGCTCAAATACATTACGAGTCCCCCCAGCCGAAAAGTTGGAGGGGCTCAGCCCCGCTAGCCCCCTCCCCCCCCCCCCGGTTCCCGCGTCACTGATGTGAACTCTGATGTCCATTGCGCGCTCCGGCGTTTTATGCCGCAAAATAGGTAATCGGTGAGTCTTGTAGTGATACGTTTCACCAGAACTCACCACACCAGTAGTGGCTTCACCAGGCTCCATCAACTGGATGGCCGTACACAGGCGGACCGTGAACTTGTATAATTAGTAAAATTGTCGAAAAACGGCCGGGCCGAGCATCAACACAGTAAGAAAATGTTCGACGTATGCAAACGAGTCATTCGGCATGGAATGCGCAAGCATTCACATGGATACAACCTGATCATCGACCAAGCTGGATCCATTAAGTTCAATCTTCAGAGGCTGTTGTACTTCGCCAGACCGTTTGAAAACTGACTAGGCCATTTTCAAACTGTCTAGGCCGTTTCAAACTGCCTAGGCCGTTTTCATACGGCCTGATATTT